TTTTCCACACGTACACTTGTTCTCATTGATCACTACTTTATGTTTTCGAGCACCCCGGTCTTCACCACCAAAGTTAGTTCCACCACCCTCTAGAATCTCATATCCATGGTTGATCGGATCGAAACATGAACCCTTCTGTTGTTTAGACTTTTTCTTTAAGAAAGCTAGTTCCTGATATGCTAAAAGTGGCCAAGCTTTGCCTGCTGTCCATAGAGACCTCGCATGCTTCTTCCTCGAAACGAACCAAGCATTCAACTTGTAGAAGGTGAATGAGGCAATAGCAGTCACAGGCAGACCACGACAACCTCTTAGAAGGCTATTGAACATCTCTGCCATGTTACTAGTCATGAAGCCGCATCTCCAACCTCCGGTGTCATATGCAAGTGACCACTTATCCTTCGACGCCATCAACTCGCTCAAGAATTGCCTGCCATCAACATTTGTGGCTAACTTCAGGGCATCTAGCTTGTCTTTGAATAATTGAACCTCTTGCTGCCTGCAAACCTCCTCAAATAATTTGAAGTTGTCCTTTGTGTGATCATGCCTTATAAGATTCTGAGCAAGGTGTCTGGTGCACCACCGGTGATGTATTTGGCCGTAACCAGGAATCTCTTGTTCTACGGCATTCAGAATGCCAGCATGCGTGGGCCACGACCACGACTAGACCGTGCGTGGGCCACGCGAGCTGAGCGTCCGATATTTGGAGATGTGCCGGACATCCGAGCGCTAGTAACTCCCAAATTTTCGGCATGTTCGCTTGGTCGTAAACGATCGTAAATTTATAGCAAGAACAGTATTTTTCTCTTACACCAAACCAGTCAGCAGTAATAATCCACGATCGTATACGATCGTTTCAGCCCCAGCCGAACAGGCTGTTTATCAAAGCGCGTAAATTAAGCATTTAAAAAAGAAGACAAACATATAGAAGACCGTTTATTTTTATTTTTTAACCATTAATCATTACATCAAACATGTCTGTGCTGTGCACTGAGGCACACACGTATTATTGTAACAATAATAACGCACACGGGTCCAACCGGCAGACAAACATCGACCGACACGACACAGCACCCATGTGACTCGACACGCTTGGACCAAACACGACCCGAGCACGACGATAGTTCGCGCGACGCGAACTTGAACGAATAGTGGAATCCTTAGGCACGGTGACCGTGAGCACTCCGTTCTCCAGGCCGGCCTTCACCTGCTCCGTCTCGGCGTTCTCCGGCAGGCGGAAGCGCCTCATGAACTTGCCGCTGCTGCGCTCCAAGCGATGCCAGGAAGAGCAACGAGTGATTTTTTTTTTTTTTTGGCGACAGCAACGAGTGATTGATAGAGTGTAGCCTGTAGGAGTACGATAGTACATATGCACCAAATTAAATATTGATACTGCTAGTAGCAGGAGTACAAACGAACAAGATTGGACACGGAGATAGAGGTTTTGTGGCCGCCAGTACACTGTACACCCACCAGACCAGAGGGACAATGCAATCGGATTGGTAGCATCCTGGTCCTTGGCAGATTAGCGGCCAATGCAACCAGATTTGTTTTGGCTAGAGCAGAGACGGACAACCAGATTTGTTTTTCGCTAGAGAAGAGACAAGCAATACTTGTTTAGATTCCCCAGCTCATTACAATGGCAGCACACGTCCAGATAGTGAACAGTAGCAATGTTTGCAGGTTAAGACTGTCTCCAATAGAGACACCCAAACGCAAAATCGGTGTCGCACAGTACTTTGCATATCCAAAATCACGCTCCAACAGAAGACCCATACAAAGAACCCATTTTGGGTCCGAGGCCGGCAAGAACGCAAAAAAGCGTCGTCGTGGAGAGACGACGCAAAAATATTGCGCCCGTAGTGGTGGGCGCCGCCGCGCCAGGGGAGGGGGCGCTCGCCCAGGGCCGCCGCCAGGGGGCGCGCTCGCCCTAGCGCCGCCGGCCGAGGAAGGGGGCTCCCGCACCTGTGCCAGGGGGCGGGCACCGCGGAGGCCCGGTCGTGGCTGCGAACACCGCCGAGGCCTGGCCGCACCGGAGCGCCAGCGGGCGAGCACCACGGGGGGCGGTGGAGAGAGAGAGACGCACTGCCGGAGGAGGAGACGGGCTAGCCGCCGCCGAGGCCCAGCCGGGCACGCCGCCCCTGGGGCGCCACCGCGCAAGGGGAGGGGGCGCTCGCCCAGGGCCGCCGCCAGGGGCGCGCTTGCCCTAGCGCCGCCGGCCGACCCCACACCGGGAAGAGAAGAGGACAAGGGGGCGGAGAGCGGATGGACGCGAGGGACCGAGGGCGACAAGGCGCGGTAGCGCGGACCATGGGAGGCGTCGCCGCCGATTTCGCCACCGCATCGGGACGGAGCGAGCGACGAAGAGGCTGGGGAATGGTGCGTTCCTTTTTTCCTTTGTTTGGCCGATGACGACGGATGAGTTCGCTGTTGGAGAAAGAGAATTTTGGGTCAAAAAATCCCCCAGACGATTCTGCTTGAATCGCCCGGGGGCTACTGTCGGGGACCAAATACTAGGGTACCCAAAGAGGTGGAGCTAATAACCATCAACATTGATGGGTCCGAACAAGACAAGAGCACGACTACACCTCTTGCCTGACATCCGAGGGATAACTCCGTCTCGTCCGACCCCCAGGGGTTGGCTCCGCCTTGTTCGACCCCCGAGGGTTGGCTCCGCCTCGCCCGATCCCTGAGGGTGGCTGCCCCTCGCACGATGTCTGAAGGCTGGCTCCGCCTCGCTCGAGGTCAGAGGGTTGGCTCCGCCTCGCCCGATCCCTGAGGGCTGGCTCCGCCGCACCCGATGTCTGAGGGCTGGGTCCGCCTCGCCCGAGGTTCGAGGGTCCGCTCCGCCTTGCCCGATCGCTGAGGGCTGGCTCCGCCTCGCCCAATCCTTGAGGGCCGCCTCCCTCTCGCCCGACATCTGAGGGCTGGCTCCGCCTCGCCCGAGGTCCGAGGGTTGGCTCCGCCTCACCCGATCCCTGAGGGCCGGCTCCGCTTCCCCCAAGGTCTAAGGGACGGCTCCACCTCGCCCAATGTCTGAGGGCCGGCTCATCTGCGCACTGCTCCTTCATAACTACGCACGCAGATAAATCGGGGCACTCAAGTCAACCGCAATACCGAATACCATATCCTGCACGCCTGTAGGAAAGTACCGTTAGGATATGACAAGACAGGCGCTTTAAGCCCTTCCAGGCATGTCAGAGCCCGACAATGTTGTAGGCGCCGACATTTGTCTTACAGTGTTGTGGACGCTGCCATTTGCCCTCGAGCGCGGATCCTGATGGAAGCATACGATAACCACTATGGTCCAGGAGGAGACTCGCATCATCTACAGTATGGACGTGCGGTCACTGCCCCATCTGCTCCCCGTAGGGTCGTGGATCAACACCCTGGTCCGTCACGTCGCCCGCCGGGGCAGGATGGGACGTGACCACTTGCTGATCAAACCAAAACATGGCATCATCAGCGGAGAGACACCCAGCGCGGCCCTGTCAGGATCAGCGGCCGTGCACCCAGCATGGAGCTATCCTTGGCACCGTCTGCCGTGTCAGCAAGGCTTGCTCAGAGGAAAAGGAAGACCCGGCATCTGTGAAGGACCTCCTTGACCTCTGGTTTTTCTTCTTTCTCCCATCTGTAATTCCTGCTTCCCCTTTGTCTATAAAAGAGAAGGCAGGGCACCCCACTAAGGGGACGGATCCAAAAAAACACATCACACATAGCTGAGCAGCATCCAAGCTCTCAGCACACATTCGACCTTTCGATCTGAGACTTGGGACCTGTCCCTCTCTCTCGCTCATTTGTACCCCCTACTATGAACTTTTCAGTGCAAATGACACGAGCAGCAGCCACGAACTGGACGTAGGGACATTCTGCCCGAACCAGTATAAACCTTGTGTCTTTTTAGCACACCCTCCGGGCCAAACGCTCAATAATACAAATTTACTCGTTGGTGTTTACTCGAAACACCGACACCTGTCGTGGCCACGGGTCACGTCAAGGCGTGCCCGCGCCCCTTCCGGTGTCAGAGGCTTGACCCAGGCCCATAGGCTTAGACCCGTTGTGGTTGGGGGTGGTACAGACCCCGTCGGGCGAGACGGAGCCCGCTCCCGAGGGGTCGGGCGAGACGGAGCCTATGCCCTCAGGGTCGGGCGAGACGGCTCCCGTACCCTCGGGGTTGGGCGACATGGGGCCCGTGCCCAAGGGGTCTGGCGAGGCGGAAACCGTCCCTTCGGGGTCAGGCGAGACTGAAATACGTCCTTGATTATCTAGGCGAGTTGTCGTCCGCGATCCTTTGATCCCTTCTTCGGGTATCCCTAATACTGATACTCGATATCTGTTTTCAGACGTATGTTGCAATTGTTTTTGAGATCTAGATGTTGCACATGTTTCACACATATGTTGCAACAGTACGTTCCAAATGTTTCAGTTCTTTCAGTCTTATGTTGCAATAAGTGGTTTCATGTTGCAAGTTGCAAGTGTTTATTCGGATGTTTCATGTGTTCCACACACACGTTGCAAGTGCATGTTCCAAATGTTTCATCTATTTTCAGACGTACGTTGTATTCAAATGTTTTTCATGTTGCAAGTGTTTTATGTTGTTGGGCCAGGGGCCGGCGGACGGGTGTGCTGCAGTCTGAACGCGCTGGGGGCGTGCTCGTCCTCAACCGCTTATCCCGGCTCCCGAGTGCTTCCCGCGTGGAGAGAGAGAGAAGGGGTCAGGGAAGGACCGATGAGCATGGAGACAGGGGCGGAGTGTGCGTGTGGAGCGGAGCAAAGGCGGACAGGGGCAGGCTACGCAGGCATCCGGACGTGCGCATCTGTCTGAACATTCGGGCTCTAGCCACGCCGATAGATAGATAGATATGTTTGGTCAAGTTTGAAATTGATTGGCTTCTTGAAATATGAGTTGAGCAATTATTTTTGTACGGAAGGAGCAACTAGTACATCTGTTTTGACGTGGTATATAACTATATATTGCGTGCCAGATCCAGATGACGACTCTACTATATCCTGAGGCTCTCGATGAACCGTGTCCCTTGCTCCAGCGCATTGAAGTTCCCCTTGATGTACTCCTCTATCTCAATGGATTTGTACCGCGCGTGGGTGCCCTCCTCCTCGAGGAGCCCAGGCAGCGGCGCCACCAGACCACCGACGGACGCCTCCTGGAATATCACCACGGTGGTCCGGCCCCTCTCGGCGTCCGGGATCACCCTGTGCTCGACGCTGGCGTAGGCGCCGTTGGTGAGCACGTCCAGGATGTCGGCGACGTTGACGACGAAGGCGCCCGGCAGCGGGCGCACCGGGAACCACCTGCCGTCCTTCCGGATCTGCAGGCCGGGCGTGTCGTCCACGTGCAGCAGGAGCGTCAGGCCCAGGCCGTCCGTGTGTGGCGTGATGCCCATCACCTTCTCCCGGTGGCGGCACGGATGGTAGTAGTGGATCGCCATGCTCTGCCGCTTCCCTGTGAAGGCGTCCAGGAGCGCCTCCTGCTCCACCCCAAGATCGGCCGCCATGAAACCCAGGAGCCGCATTGCGAGGTCGATCATCTCCACCGAGTAAACCTCAAGCGCGTCCCTATCAGAGTCCATGCATGGGAAACATGTCAGATGATTGATTAGTATAGAAAGATGAAACTGAGTTCGGTCCAGGCATGGGAAGATCATCGATAGATGAACGTGAAAGACAGACCTGAACGTGGGCGGATTTGTAGGCCACATTTCCATGTTCCTGTCCTGGGGTGGCTGCGTGACGAGGATCATGCTCTCTGCCCAGTCCAGCTTGCCACTGGACGCTCTGCTATAGTGGTGCCCAAATCCTTCGAAGCCGTTTCCTCGGACCGCCACTTTGGCTTTGCTTCCCAGCGGCAGGCTGAAGAACTGCACGGTATTGTCTTTCATTCGCTGTACCACTTCTTCGTCAACTCCATGGTTTGTCAGCTACGTGAAAAAAAAAAAGCATCACATACACGTAGTATTAATTACTGATGTACGTACCAGTTAAGAAACTCATCCTATACGTAGGTTAGACATGCAAACGGGGCAAATATCAGATAGTACCTGAAAGAAACCCCAGTTTCTGCAGGCATCGCCAAGCTTGGCGATCTCCGACGCCGACAGCTCCGGGTCGAGGAGCCTGGCCATGTCGACGACCGGCAGCTCGTAGCGCTCGTCCTCACCGACGACGACGCCGTCAAGGACCTCCTCGGTTCGGACGTACTTCTCCGGGATCTGCTCGGGGTTGGCGAACGCGGAAGCCGCAGCGTCTGTGATCTCATTCCTGTTGACAATACTGTCGTAGCTAGGAGCCTCCATTGCTGTGCGTCTGCTCTGCTGCACCTACCTCCGACTCCGATCGAATTCGGCTCAAGGCTACTGCGACGATTGATGTGCTGATTTATAAACTGTTTCCACCCAATGCAAGTGCTGTTGCAGTTGTTGCAGGGTTCAGTCGGCTTACCTAAGCACACCACTCACGCCCTGGACTCCAGCTGGGGCCAAGCATTGGAGAAGGCTCGATCCAAGAGGCGTAGTTGAGTGGTCGCATCATAACTGTTAACCTAGCGACAGAGCTCTCCAATCCAGGGAGTAAGTTCTGCGTGTCCACCTACAAATTCGATTTTTTTTAATTTTAACCCTTTTTTGAATATAATTTTAAATCTAACAATGTCGGTTTTTTTTTAAAAAAACTAACACTTTTGGCCGCGCCTATTGCCCTGGCGCGGCCAAATACCTGTGCCGCGCCATGCATGGTGGCGCGGTCGCTGACGTGGCAGCTCCTACCACGCCCTGATACGTGGCGCGGCAGGACCATATATATACCGCCCGCGTAGCCACACCACCTGGCCGCTGCGCCTGCCGCCCGCACGGAGTACCTGGATGGTTGAATCGAAACGCGTCGCGCACGTATTTTGTTGAATTTTTTTCACGGCCGAATAAAGAATTTGATAAGCCAATGATAAGTTTTTCGTCTTTCATAATACGGTTATGCACCATTTAAACTAATCGATTACGAAAAATTGCCACCGGGACTGTCGGTTCCCGAACTAGTTGGTACTTAATCTCGCCGGCAGTGCTGCCGCGACTCAAAGAAACGAATAAGAAGCAAGTTGACAAGCTGCCACATAACCTATTCATTGTTTTGACATGAGTTTGAGATAACATAACCAAATAACCACGTAAGTTTTAGATGGCAATATTCGTTTGACTTAACAAACTAAGACCCAGGAGTGTAAGGATCCCTCGGACGCCTCTATCTCTTCGGATTTGTTGGCAACACATTGGGAGTGTAGCCAACGTCGGTATGGTCGCATCGACGGTGCGTACGGCTCGTACCCTGCAGGTATATGATACTCACGATTACTTATGATCGTTAGTTCATGGAGCCTACGTATTGAAACAAACTATTTTTGTTAGTACCTGTGAGTCTCCTTGGGTGCCAAGCGGGGCACCACCTAACTGAGACATGCCGATCTTGTCCTGCGGCCATTCGTCCCACTGGTCGTGCTGTCCGCGGAAGCCCGGGGGTTCGTCGTCGTCGTCATCGTCCTCCTCCTCGTCCTTGATTGCAGGGTCCTTCCCAGCGCTATGATGTGGTGGTGTACGCACCACGGAAGTGGCACCTGTCATCGGCTGAGAAGAGCCGGCTGGTGTCCTTAAAGAGGCCGAAGACGTGCCACCCGACCGCGCCGGGAGTGGCGGTTCCTCATAAGGAGTGTCCATGCAGCTCAACTTCTGAGCTAGCTTCATGCAGCCCTTCTTCACCTTCTGCATAAATAGACGTTAAAGTTAGTTCATTACACAAACGCATATACACTAAAGAAATATTTTCAAAACGGACAAGTTTATGTTTACCTCCACAAAAGCCACGAGAACGCCTGGCCCCTGCCCTCTAGACTCGTGAAGCCGGAACGCTGTTTCATTGGACAGCCTTGACAATTGTGTCGCCTAGGTACAGAAACACGGTTGGACAGTTTTAGTACACTTACTTAAAACCAAAAGGATAACAAATTGTACCATTCAAGTATCTTACCACGTATCTTTGAAGCGGGGCTCTCTGTAGCTGTGTGTCCTCCCTAGTGGTAACGTCGTACACATCTTCGATGACATCTTCCTCCGAGTCCTCGTCAATCACCACGTCAGTGTACGGGGGCTTGACATATGTCCTCGTAGACCTGTGAAGCCACCGCAGGTACTCGTCGAAGGTGTGCTGGTCGTGTGGAGGACCCGCAAGGACCGCATGTGGTACCCTGGTCTACCACAAATGGATGTACGGGCTATGTGTCACGCGCCAATCCTTGGTCTTGTACCTCTTCCTACGGTCAAACCTGCAACAAAACGATGTTAGTTGTACCAAACACACCTCTGAATTGTAGCATTGTTATTAATCGATAATGCACCAGTGCAATTCTTGGTTGGTGGAGTAAAGCGGTGGTGGGCAGGCTGTCATTCTTTCAAACTGTCTGCAGACCCGGATATGCAAGTGAATCTAGACCACATGGAAGAAAATAAGAGGGACGTCGCAGCGATACTCGTGTGACTCGTCCCTAGTGACAGGACTCAGGTAGCCCTGGAGCTCCGGAGAATCCCAAGGACACCAAAACACCTGAAATTTCGTAATTGTGTTAGGTTGTGATATACTGTACATCGAAGCAGACACTGGTATGATAGTATAGAGAGCCTAACCTGGTGCTGTATCAGGACGTCGAGACCGTCTGTGTACTCCCTGTACTTGCGCCATGCATTCCCTCTAACTAAGTGTGCTTCCGTCCAGATATACAGAGCTGTAGGGAGTGTATCATGCCCGTTCCATCGCTGCATTGAACACGATAATGAATTAGCAACAAATAATCTCATCATATCTAACTGCCTGAAAAATATAATAAACCGAAGTACTTACAGGTAAACCATTATTAAGGGGCATCCCAACGGGCAATCGTTCCCAACACCAAACTTGGAGTAGGTACGAGCAACCCCCAAGGTTCGCATGTCCTGAGGTGCGACGACAGGCAACGCATAGCTGTCGATACGTCCATGCCAGGACTGCGCTGCCCCAGCTGTACCCCGCTATGTTCTCCCACGGCTGGCGAAGTATGTCAAGAAAGATCCAGCTGATGGTGTTGCCCGAGGCGTCTAGGAAGAGGAAAGCACCAAGAAAGTGCCAGAGCCACACTCGAGCGAACATGTCGATCTGAGCCTCCTGAGCTTATGGGTCCAAGTAATCAAAGCGCTCTGTGATCTAGGACGATGAAACACCAGAAGTTTTCCTGTAATTGATCAAAGAAAATGAGACCCGATGCCAGCTGTAAACAATGCAAGTATTAAATAGGCTTGAAATTACTCACTTATTTTTCTTGGAAGCATCGTCGTCCGGTGGAAGAAAGCCAGTAAACTGAGCCACCAGCTCTCTCCAGTGATCGTTGTCAACTATCCCTGTCACTGGAAGTCCCCCCAAGCGAAGGCCTAAAATAGCTTTCACGTCCTGCAACATCATTGTCATCTCGCCACAAGGTAGGTGGAACATGTGGCCTGTTATAAGAATAGAACGACTGTTAGTTGCCTCAAATTTATTACAAGAAAGTTTACGTACAAATAATGCACTCGCACCTGTCTACAGCTGCAGTAAGTAGTGCTGGGTCAAGGGGCGAAAGACCATGGTTCACAACACGGACAAGTTCGAGGAAGCCGTCACGCCGTATGTACGGCATATAACGCTCGTTCCACTGATGCGCCCTAGTGTGCGTGCGGGGGGCCTCAAAGGAGGCAAGGACACCTCTGCGTCGTTGTCACTCAAGATGTGTGCTCAGTGCTGATCGTCGTACTCTACCTCAAGAATGGGGTACAACGGGTGCTGCGTGGGAGGGGCCATCCTTTTACAAATTGATAAACAAAGCGTTAGAGTATTCAAATTAACAAAATTCAAGTTAACATTAGTAAGTTCACAAACAAATCACAAACCAATTCACTAACCTAATTAGCCTAAATCTCTAAACCCAAAATCCTAAGTATACTAGATAATAAATACATAATCAATCCATATAAAACTTTAGTTCCAAAATTACAAGTAATCCCTCTGTCTCAAAATAAATACACATCTTACTTCTCAAGTAGTCAAATATGTTTAAGTTTGATCAAAACTAAAAAAACGGTATCAATATTTGTATCTCCTAATAAGTTTATTACGAAAGTATACTCCATACTTAATGTAATAGTACCTATTATGTAATAGTACCTATTACAAAAGGTACTTCCTCCGTTACATAACAATAGTCGTTCTAAGATATCGCAAAGACACTAATACTCAATGAAAATAGCCTCGATGCCCCTAAATGCTCCTAGAAAAAGAAATGAAAATAGTCGTTCTAAGATTTCATCAACTCTTTTGCTTCTACGCCGGCCGCTCGAGGATTGCGAGGGCACGTGGGGTACCTTAGGAATATAAAAAATACTAACTATACTACATAATAATAAAAAAATATGAAATCGAGACGAAGGTACCTTAGGAGCGGGCGGCCTTGACGCGCCGGCGTTCGTGGCGTGGCCGGCTAGGGCGCTGCGCGGGGGAAGCGGCCGGGCGCGGCGTGGGCGAGCGGCCGAGGCCGAGCCAGGCGGGCGTGAGCGGGGCAAGGCCGGGCGGGCGCGTGCGCAGCGTGGCAGGGCGGGCGCTGGCAGGGCGCTGGCGGCAGCGGCCGCATTCGGGCGGGCGGGCAGGGCAGGGTGCGTGCGGGCGGGCGGTGGTATATATATGGTCCTGCCGCGCCACAGATCAGGGCGCCGCATTGCCGCGCCAAAGTCGGTGGCGCGGCAGGACCTGCCACGTCAGCGGTCCCCCAGGTCGGCCCTCGCCACCTCAGCCCTCTACCGCGCCACCATGGCGCGTCACAGGCATTTGGTCGCGCCAGGGCAATAGACGCGGTCAAAAGTATTAGTTTTTTAAAAAAAACGACAGTGATAGATTTAAAATTATATTAAAAAAGAGTTAAAATTAAAAAAATCCAAATTCGTAGCAGCAGCGAGTGTAGCGGTAGTACGGAGTAGTTGGTGAGCTCAATCGACCGGCCTACCTAACCTAAGACATACTGACACACCACGGAAGGCGATTGGACTTTTGGTTGGTGGAACAGCGCGCGGCCGAAGCCATGAGTCCATGACGGACACCGCAACGCGCGTATCCACTGAAGAAAGCTCAGCTGGCCAGCGGGGACAGTGGCTCTCTTTCAGATGATGTTCCAGCTGGGGAAAAATTAAAGTTTGATTGGTGCTCTATACCACTCTCGGTCGGTCCCATGGAATTTAAGAAATCGTTAGGGTGGGGG